CAGTAGCCTAATTCACGTTAGCCTATCTAGGCCTACTCCAATGACTGAAAGACTCTGTGACATTATAGTCATTTTGTAAACATTATACCAATCCTTCAGTGTTTATATTTTTTGTTGATTGGTTCCGAGTTAAGGCCCATAAACTGTTTAATTGAACTAGCCTAATTCATTTTGTTTTATGTAACGAAGTGAAATAACTTTTGTGCCTTGTGTATTTTGACTGTATTTGTGTTCAATGATGGCTCCTGTTAAGGTCCCTATTAGGCCCTATTAAGGTTTCTACCTATGAAAGACTAACTAAACAATTCAAAGTTAGACTTGTAAAAATTCAAGAAAATGTAAATTCTATAAATGAAAGTGCTAAAGGAAACAACCTATCCTCTGTGCAAATAAAATCACTTCATAACTAACTATTTAGATGAAATCAGGAAAAAGCGAGACGACTTTGAACTAAATTTCAGGCGCGTTTTAGAACATTGTTCTGACGAAGAACTCGATGGCATTATTTTAAATGATGATGAAAACACTATTGGTGAATTATGTATACATCTTTGTAGTACTATAGAGTCACTAATCCCTATTGACGAACCTCAATCTCCCCCTCAAGAAATGGTGAATAATTCCAACTGTACTGCTTTCATGCAACCTGTCCACCTACCGCAACTTGACTTGAAAACCTTCTCGGGAAACTCAGCCGAGTGGATTAATTTCATCAATCTTTTTGATAGCGCTGTACACCTCAACACATCTCTGTCTCCAGTATCAAAATTTCAATACCTACTAAGCTGTCTAACTGAAGAACCTCTAAATTTAATTAAAAACTTAAACATCAGTGCATCTAACTACGAAATCGCATACAATTTGTTGCGCGATCGATACCACAATCACAGACGCTTAACTTCTTTACATTTAAATGCCATATTGGATCTTCCCATTGCCACATCTGAAAATACAAAATCAATACGTGAATTTCTAAATCATTTCCTGGAACATACACAATCACTTATTGCTTTAGAAAGTGACATCACTACCAATGACAATCCTTTGCTGTCAGCTCATTTGCTCCGTAGACTTGATAGAAATTTACGGCAAATACTTGAACATTACCGCTCATTCAAATCATGTGAAACTCATTCGTTACCATCTGTGGACGAAATCATTAAATTTCTCAATGAAGATGCCAACCTACACTCTTCAACTTTTTGTCACAAGGCTAATTCAAAGCCTGCCCTCACATCTAGTAAAAATTACTCCAAACCAAGCACCCGCTATACTGCACTTGTAAGCTCAGATGATCACTCCACTTCTGTAAAGACATTTCCATCATGCTTTGCCTGTCAACAAATCGATCACAAAATCTACATGTGTAAGGTTTTTGCTAAGAAATCTCCAAATGAGCGTTACAAACTTGTAAAGGAGCAAAATAAATGTATTTCATGTCTTGGCAATCACACACTCAAAGATTGTCGCTCAACAGGCACATGTCTTAAAGTAAACAAAAACACCACACCTTGTTACATTTCGAAAATGTTGTAAAGTCGGTGCAGCCTCCTCCTATAGCCAAACCCTAAAAACCTTCAACTGCTACACCTTCTGTAGTCGCTTCTGCTCAACCAGAAATGTCACTCTCGATTTCTCAGCCTGCAACTACGGTACTGCTAGGCACCGCTCTCATTAAAATTACCGCTAATAATGGAATCTCTCATGTCTTTCGATGTCTGCTCGACAGTGGAAGTCAACTCAACTTCATGACGGAGAAGGCAGCACAGCTATTAAACGTCTCTCGTCACCGCTCTACTCACACAATCGTGGGAATCTCTGCATCGCAATCTTCAACAAAAGGACATGTACTCCTAGAACTATCTACACTATGCAGTGAAGTAATTGCTTCAAATCAACCTTTCCATATTCTAGATAGAATTTCCGCTCCTTTGCCTCGTACTCAACTCTCTTTTGAGGTTTACAAACTGGTAAAACCTTTTGTTCTTGCAGATCCGACCTTTCATATACCTCAGAATATTGACATTCTCATAGGAGGTGCTTTGTTTCCAGAACTTCTTACTCATCAATCCTACCCATTGGGCTCAAACCTTCCATTCGTTATTGGAACACGATTGGGATTTGTGTTAATGGGCAATGCACCAACTTTGTCTAACTCTTCTCCCACCTCATGCCATTCATCTCTACTCTCCACTACGGACGAGCTACATAATACTCTACTTCGCTTTTGGCAACAAGAAGAAGTCCCGCAGTGCAATCTTATCTCTGAAGACGATCGCATCGCTGAAGATCACTTCAAATCAACTCACTCCCGCTCTCCAGATGGAACATATGTGGTTCGACTCCCTTTCAAGGACCAACATCAACTATAGGTAACATAACTATAGTTCAGTGTTAAAAATTCAACCAAAAGTCCATAATTATTTTCTGTTGTCAAAATTAAATTAATAACCCATATACAGTCCACTTTATTATTTCTACAATAACCTTTTGATTACGCTACAGGTGTAATTTTTAGCTCTTTTTATGCCCTTTCTAATGATATACAACACATAATAGGTTATGACAACAAAATCTTTTTCAAATTCATCCTACAGTGTTGTCACTATGAGCTGTAGGCAGCTTTTTGACTGTAAGAATGCATCATCTAGTAAAATAATTAAAATTTTTTAGAAACGAAACATGAACATTATATTATAGCTTGCGAGATCATCTATACTGTACAAGGCACTGAATAAATTAAATATAAAATGTTCAGTAAAGTAAAAAGGAGTCTATATTTTATCATCGTAAAAATTACATTGATTAAATTGTAAGTATGAAATGTGATCCTTACTTCAGTTTTAATGGTGTTTGGAAATGTTAAGTAGCTTGATTTTACTTTCAATTAATTTTTTAATAATATTTTTTTAAATAATTTACTCTAAAATTACTCTACATAGTAAATAATAAAAATTCTTTGATTGGATAGAGCTTGTACAATGTGGTGTTTAGTGAAATAGTATCCAGGAAGAGTGGAAGTATGGCGAAAAGCGTTAGTTTTGTTGGACGTTATGGGTAGGGAGAATGAGTCTACGAAAAAGGGGAATACTTGCATTGGGGCGCAGTGAGATTAGTTACGCCACTGGTTGAGAGCAGTGGATTCGGATGTTTGATTGTGATGTTTGATTTAGGTAGTTTTGTGACTTAGGCTATGCAAGATTGATTTGTTCTAAAGTTAACATGAATTTAGGCCTATGTTTAAACTCGTAAAATAATCAAATATAGTGAGGAATAACTGTAAATACGTCAAAATTATCGAAGGTACTATTTAATAACATTATTTTGTATGGGGAAGGAGCAAAAATATAACCTACACATGGCAACACTAGGAGGATTAAACATTAAGGAGAGGACACACTGTAGTTTCGTTGAAGCTCGATTTTTGGCCGCCGGCACCGTACTGGGATACTTATATTGTGTATTATTTTTAATACTATCCATGAATTAAAATTTTAATTATATTTTAATCACTGTAAGTGTATATGAAAATCTTTCTTAAAGAGAAATAAAATAAGTTTTAATCCTTTAAAAGCATGATAAACGCACTTTGGCGTCAGAAGACGCGATGATTACTAAACGTTTATACTTTTTTACTCAAAGATTCTTTGGGCAAACAATTCAAATATAGCTCAACATGATATTAAAAAATCAAGAATTTTATTGCCAAGAAATTGTTTTACTTTTATTTTTGTAACTTAATTGTAACGGCTGTTAGTGTATATAAAGTGAGCGCGGATTTGAATTTTTTCTTAACTGGCTATTTAAAATCACCTGCCTAGCCCATAAATGCCTTAAAACTAGTAAAAAAAGGAATTTATAAATCGAGAAAACTATGAAAAATGCAAATTTAAAATGTATTTCACCACCCAAATTAAATTTTTCATTTTAACTTATATTTAATAAGATTATCGGATTGTTTTATAAACTGGACAAATTAAAAATAATTTTATTGTAACTATTTTCCTAAATACTACTTTTAAATATAGGTAAGTTTATATTTTTTATACCGAGAAACTCTTAAGGAACACGAATAAATTGATAATTTGTATAGATAAATCATATTTCTTTCAAAAACGTAATTATAGTAATCATATGTTCAAAGTCTTCAACAATTTTTTCAACTTTGATCTTCATCAATAACAAATTTTTTATAGAAATTATTGATACCATTCGATAGGAAATTTAATTTACTTTAAGAATGCCATCGGTGAATAACACAGGTATTTTAGTTTAGCGGCAATTTTAATTTGAAACAGCGCGCGTCACGTTTTTCCCTATCCCTCCCATGTTATAGCGGCGGCTTTTTGCCACTCTACGGCTCCGCGTGCCCCTCTAGTGTTCTGCTAAAGTTGGCTTTACCGCAACATGTGTATTCCTATTCGTGTGCCCTCTCCTTAATGTTTAATCCTCCTAGTGGCAACACTGCTCCTGGTGGAAGAAGACTCCATGCCCTGTGTGACAGGAATTTACTGCGACACACAATAAGAGTACAGAGTGCGCTACTTGACCAGACTATACTTTTGCTTATTTAGTGTAGGCCTACTAAAAATAAACACTGCTAAATTACTGTATCATTTGCATTTAAGGATGACAAGAGTATATTGAATGGTATCAATGTTTTAAAAACCTTAAAATAAGGTAAAAAAATAGTTAATAACAAGTTTAACAGGAAGAGCACAATATTCCTTCATGAAGCATGATAATAAATTTCAAGTGTAACCTGGGAAAAATAAGTTGCATGTAACACTTTAATAATATTTCCATAACTAAAAAGTGTGAAAAATTATTAGTCCTACTCGCTAAATTGGCCGGAGTTAAACTGAATTCTAGGCCTCTTCTTTGATTTTGAAAAAGTTATCACCAAGCTAGTATTTATATCACACAGTAGGAACAATTAATATTGATCTACACAATTCAGGTGTTCTTATATGATTACATAATCATTACTGTCATATTACCTTTGGATGGTTGGTAACAATGCAGTATTCACACACATTGACTCTATGTTCATAACAAAATTGGTTTGTTACTCGACGTTTGGGGCATTTACAGAGACCCATTATCCTAAAACAAAATATATAAACATGTCATTACTTATGATACATCGCAGGGAACTAAATAACAGTTTCCTTAAAATACCAACAAGCCAGTTTTAAATACAATTATTATTGATGGCAAATCTTATCTTACTAATATTATAAATGTGAAAGTTTGTGTGTTTGTTTGTTTGTTTGTGTGTTTGAAGTTCAATCACGCATAAACCACTGGATGGATTGGGCTGAAATTTGGCATGATGATAGCTTACATTCCCGATTAACATATAGGCATATTCTTATCTCAAAAATCCTTTCGGGCTCCGCCCCAGTGGCTCTGTAATTCCCCATGTTAACCTTATGAGTTTTCATATTTAAAGGGAATTAAAGAATTTAGTCAGCTGTTTCAACTAAAAAAGTTGGTTCTATGATATGGAAAAGCATTAAAAAGTTATATAAGATTTACCAACAGGGTGCAGCACTATATTTTTTTTGCATTTATGAAAACAGCTAATCTATATACCGGTAAATAAAATTAGAGTTTTGTCTGTACATTGCTCAGAATCATAAATGTTTAGGTTATTTTTACGTTTTATACATTAAAGAAGCCGAAACAAGGCTCATCTAAATTTCTGTCTGTCTGTCTGTCGGTAACACTCAAGATGGCATTTTACGCAATCTTCTCCAGGAAAACGAGAGTATACCTATCAAGATCCAAGTCATTTTAATGTATTCACTGGATTGGTGAGAGTGTCTTTTGCCATTAAAATATGGCCTCACTAATTTGTATATAAAATTACGGACGTTCAAAAATGCAGTTTTGTGCAATTTTTTCAAGTTTTTGTCCAATTTTTATCACATAATCATCTATGAAATAACGAACAGCTGTTCGGATCAAGATTATTTTTTCTAGCTGTCACTGATATGTTTACAAATGTTGTTTACAAATACCGCAACCATTTCCGATCACGTTTTGAAGGCAAATCCCAACCAAGTGAGATTAAAAACGTTTTTCTTACATAACGGATTTAATTAATCACAAGTGGAATAATATAGTGTAACAGTAAATGAAATTAAATAACTAGGCATCATTCAGGTCAGGAACCAGAGATTCTTTGTGTTTTGTGTATAAAACTGTTCTTGAGTTTTGATAACCAGAAAGAAGACCTTGAATCAGTATTGTATATGGCTGGGAAACTTTATTTAAGTCAGATACTGTATTTGCGAAGGTTTAAATATAATAGTTTTGCCAGCATATCTGAAAATATGCAAACCAACTGCTGTTCTTAATATAATAAGGTTTCAACTGACTACAATAATATCCCCGTGCGTAGAACGGGCACACAGATAGTTTAAACTAAGCAGCAACAAAAAACTGTGATTCGCGATGAGAACTGTCAAAGTAGGATTGTTTACAGTAGTTATGTTTATGTTTTTCATTTCACGAATAATTTGTGATATTTTGCGAATTGTTGATAATTTATTTTTCTGTATTGTTTAGGTGAAGTGGTAGAACATTATGGCTATGGTAGATGTGTAATACTATAGAATACTGTAAATTTAAAAAAGCAAATTTTATCAAACTGTGTCCTCCCTTATTGCAAACGCAAAGCTTGAGTATAACTGCAATAAGCATTTTATGTTTATTCCAACCCCGTACGAAGGACGGGTACTCTGCTAGTATTTGATATATCTACAATGCGATATCGTGTAATTTTTAGATGTCTACTTACAGTATTTTTCACGCTGAATCCAAAAATGCAATCAGTGTGCAAACATAATTTTTTGTCATTTATTTTATAATTTTTGAGAAATGTTAAACCCACAAAAATTGTTGAACATTTTTTTTTTGTAATGTTTTATATGTTACATTGAAGCCCATAATTTTCCAAACAAAATGATATATAAAACAGTATACTTTACATTGTTTTTAAGTTTCTAAGATACATTTTAATAAAACCCTGCGATTGCGCAATAACCACGTATATCACTACTTTTGATTTTTAACAGTAAAACAATGATAAACGTAATAAAATCAGTCATCAGTGCAAGGTTAACCAAGCTCTTTACAAATACGCACGTCAGCTGTCTGCTACAATATTTTTGGAACTAAAATGAAAAGCGTATAGAAACAGACATCAGGAGAAAGCTCTGAATCTCCTGAAAAAAACGATACCTAACTCGATCCAGTTCAATCCGATTCAGTCAGTCCCAGAGCCGTCGCCGTAAACAGTGTTTGTGAGTCGCAAAATCGACACATAACACTACAGCGGATGTGTTATGAGTCGCTTTTACGACACATAACACTTGGAGGGTTAAGGTGACACAGTACTCCCTATCCTCCCGCCCATGTTAAAAAGACAGTTTTTAGGTAGCCTACACATAACTTTTACAAATATTAACCTATCAACTTGAAATTTTTTTACTATGTTTAATACATTATTACCAACAATAATATGAAGTAAAAAAAGTTTTTGAGCAAAATTAAATTTTTACTACGACTTTAAAAATTTTATAAAATATTTTGTAATTTTAGCGAATTTCCCATATAGGGAATAAGCTATTACCGTAGGTCTCATGGTAAGACCTAGACCCGGGACAGATTTACTTTTTCGTTTTGAGGTCCCCAGAGGCCAAAAACACCATCCGTTCAAATTTATATATATATATTTATATATGTGTCCGTTAGCGCGATAACTCGAGCAAAATTGATCCGATTTTGATGAAATTTGGTACAAACGTGTAAACCTACATTTATTCTAACGAGTTCGCGAACCAGCATAATCGGACCATGGCATCAGGGGTTTATGGGGGGTTTTATGGGGTAAAAATGGGTTTTTCTAATTTTTGACCCTAAAAACTTTAAATTTCTAAATTTCTCTCTAGACCATTTTGAAGAGCTTAAAAAAACAAATAATTTAGTATATTGAAGTGTTTTTTAATGTTCATTGACTACGGAGAAAATTAAAAAAAATTGTAAATTTAAAATTCCCATGTTATTCTTATGGAGAATAAATAAACTGTTCTAGTTTGCTTGTTTATGGATATATTTTAATCAGATTTGGCAATTTGGTTTATTTCATAGTAAGCTATCAATATTTCAATTGAAAAAACATACCTCAACATCTTCCCCGTAGCAGCAAACCTAACTACTAACTAAAATTAATGTTATTTAAATAGGAGGAAATAAATCTAAAAAATTTATAGGGAATATTTTAGTAGAAATCAAGCCGGGTAAATGGAAATTCGCTTAGTATGCAGGTTTGCTGCGACGGGGGTATTTTAACATAAAGTATTTTTTTATTTTAAAGTTCCGTATCATATGAGGAACACACACACAAATTTTTATTGAAATTGGATTATAATTGAGGAAGAAAAGTGTACCTGACTAAAAACCACTTGACTTTCGGAAAAACTACAAAAGTACCCCCTGTCACGGGTGGTAGTAGGACCCTTGAGCATACTAAAGTAAGAGTGTATAAAAGTCGCTGTATAACTTAAAATATTTTTTCTTCCATAAAATTTGGTATGTATGTGTTCAGGAAAGTGTGTTCTACAAAACTAAATAATAAAAAATGTTTACAAAAATTTTAATATTTGACGGCGTACCCTATGCATCATGATTAGTAGTAGGACCTTGGGCATGCTAAATTAGGCTGCAAGAGTTAACAAAAGTAGCTGAAAATTTTAAAAATAATTTTTTTCTTCCTTAATAGGTATTTATTAACCCTCCCAGTGTTACTTGACGAAAATTCGACAAGCAGCACACTTTGTGTAGTGTTACTTGTCGATTTTTCGACACGCAGACATCGTTTACGGCGAAGGCTCTATGACTGACTGGATCGGATTGAACTGGATCGAGTTAGGTATCGTTCTTTCCGTAATATTCTAAGCTTTCTCCAGAGGTCTGTCTCTAAGCGCTATTCATTTTAGTTCCGAAAATATTGTAGCAGACAGCTGACGTGCGTGTATTTGTAAACAGCTAGGTTCCCCCGGACCGATGACTGATGTGTTTTATTACGTTTATCATTGTTTTAGTGTTAAAAATCAAAAGTAGTGATATACGTGGTGCATTATAAGAAGATTTAAGTGGTTTTGAAGTGCTGGTTGATGATCCTGAAGAAGTAGGTAGTGATATTGATGTAAATTATCAGCCAGATTCCTAGCTATGGTTAGGCTATGCATTCTTAGCTAAACGCTATGTACTGAAATCAGTTTTTTGCCCATAACTTATTTATTTGCAAATATACTTCCTTATATTATTATATATTTGTAATCCTTATAAAATTTAGAACAAAGTGGCTATTTTCAAATATTTATAGGCCTATAATTTATACAATTTCATTGAGCGCGAACTTATTTTTTTTTTTTTAATTTTCAAAATTATATTTTTTTACCTAAAAATTTTTTTTTTGAAAAAATGTTCCTTATGTTTTATATATAATATTGAAGCCCATGATTTTCCAAACAAAATGGTATATAGAACATTAGAATTAACATTGTTTTAAGCTTCTCAGATCCGTTTTAATAAAACCTTGCAAATGCGCCAAAAATAGGTGGACATTAAGGCCTAAACTATGGACACTTGGAGGGTTAATCTACGTCTTCAAAAAAGTCTGTTCTACAAAACTAAACAATAAAAAAATTTTTTTTTAAATTCATATTTGAGTACTGTGTTACCTTAAGGCAACATACCGTAAGTTATATCTGCTTAAAAGGTGTTGGAAACAAATGAGAGAGTAGTAAATCAACAGATAATATAACATAAGCTAAACCCAGCTCTTATGTTTCTGGCCATTCTTTAGTCATAACTAGCAGAGCACCCGTCCTTCGTACAGGGTTGGCATATAAGTATAAAATGCTTATTGCAGTTATAATCAAGCTTTGCGTTAGCAATGGGGGAGGACACAGTTGTTTGATAAAATTTGGTTCATAAGTTTACGGCATGAAATAGTATAACACATCGACCATTGCCATAATGTTCTACCACTGCACCTAAGCAATAGAAGAAAATAAAATATTAAACATTCCCAAAACATCACAAATTATTCGTTAAATTAAAAACTCAAACCTAACTGTAAACAGTCCTACTTTGACAGTTCTCATTGTGTATCACAGCTTTTTGTTGCTGCTTAGCTCAAATTAGCTGTTGTCACTTATGCAAAAACAAAATAATAAGAGTGCTGGGAACCCTTATGACTTTTTAATGCGATTGCATATTATAGAACCAACTTGTAAAGTTAAAACAGCTGACTAAATTCTTTAATTCCCATTAAATATGAACTAGTGTAGCCTACATGTTGCTTGAATTCAAGCAATTGCAAAGTATTACAGGAGTTATTTCAAAACGAATAACAGTCATATTTACAATGAGTTTAAAAGTCAACTCAAAGATTACCGGCGTGTAACTCAGACCATGTTTATCTTCGTTATTGATAAACCTAAAGCATTCCGGCCAGTTTTCTCCTTTTCAAAATGCCTCGCTGTACAGGCAACACAGGTCATTGATAGAGGGCCAGAGAACGAAAAGTCGTTTTGGGGTAGTGTTAGGGCGAATTTATAACCTATTGAGATTGTCCAGGGTCAGGTGCTGACTGTGATGAGTTAAGCCTATTATGAGCCACTGTTTTGTAGCTGCGGTCGTTATCACGACGCCTCCTGTCTATGTTTCGTTGTCGCGTTGGAGGCATTTAAAAGAAAATTAAAACAACAAATAAACAAATTATAGCTACACAAAACAACGATAAATACGCAAATTTAAGTTACAATCATACTAAAACCATCCGTAATAGCAACACAAAACAATGATAGTTACAGAAATTTAAGATACAACCATACTAACACGATCTGTCTTGGGGGTTATGTTTACACAAATTCAAATAGTAAATAAATGTACTCAATGTGTTTCTGAATTGACAAATAAATAACAGCAATTAAATTATACAGCTGATCAAACTGTAAACAATTATGTTCTTCATAAGGATAACATGGGAACTTTCAAAGCCACTGGGGCAGAGCCCAAGGGACTTTTTCAAAAATGTAAGGCCAGTTTGCAAATCAACGCGAAACGCTCTTTCCAATGAGACGTCAATGGATAAAATCGCTTAAGAAATGACAGAGGAGTTCAACCGACAAAATTTCATGTAGCGTATTAATTATAGGCCTATAGATACACATTAAGGCTAACATGGGGAACAACAGAGCCAATGGGGCGGAGCCCGAAAGGATTTTTGAGATAAGAATATGCCTAAATGTTAATCGAGAATGTGAGCTATCACCATGCCAAATCTCAACCCAATCCGTCCAGTAGTTTATGCGTGATTGAGCAATACACAACCTCACAAACTTTCAGATTTATAAAATTAGTAAAGATAGGCCTAGGCCTAGCTAAACTTAGTGTCTTATAGAAATCTAAAAAAAAATATGTTTATTTAGTGTTTTAGTGATAAATAAATGTAATAAGTTATAACTCAAATAAATCTTTATAGGCTAGATTGCAGCGAGCAATTAATTTGGATACAAATAATGCGAGGTTTTACAATACAGATTATTTTACAATTAAATCTTCATTGGTACTTACACATAACCTAAACAATCTTAATTTGATTGCGATTGACAGAAGGCAGTCGGATGTCGGAATCGGCAGAGGAGGAATGGTGATGACGTTGCCAACCCTGCCAACCTGCCAACCTCGGTCAGATTTCAATAACCGTTGCCGTTGGTAAAATAATATATTGTCTAGTGCGTCAGTACTATCATTGATTCCGGTGGTACTATAAGAAGACTGGATATTATCATAGACTAACCAACGTATGTTTTATCTACGATATTATCCCAATCAGGGGTAGGTGTATGGCGGAATGGGCACACGGAAGGGACTAAGGCTAAAGGTGTAGTGACGTAGTGGTTAATGTCTTCTCTTGAGGCGACACGATTACCGTAACGAAACGATGTGATTTCAGCGGCGTTCGTGGCATAGTTGGTAGCGTTTCGGAATGGTGATCAGGATGTCCGGGGTTCGAAACCCGCCGACAGCACCAACTTTTTGTCAACAAATTTTTCATTTCAGCAAGTTTGGTTGGTTAGGTTAGGTTATGATAGTTTAATTTTATAATACTAAATTTTAAAATTAATTTTATAATTAATTAAAAATTTTAAGTGATCATTAATTAGATTTTTATCTTATATAGTTTTTATATTATCAGCAAGTCTGGTTGGTTAGGTTATGTTATGACAGTTTAATTTTAAAAATTAAAAATTAATTTTATAATTTTAAAACAATATTTTATAATTAAAAAGTTAATTTTATAACAAAAAATTAAAAATTAATTTAAATTTTTTCAACTTAGCAGTCCTAGCGGCGAACGCTGACACTACAAGATATGTTAGCCTTAGTCCCTCCCGTGTGCCCCACCGGGTGTATGGCTCTGGGGAGTGGGAATTTTCGGCAGGGATTTTATCCCTAATCCTTGTATTTTTCCCTATTTTTGGGGTAAGACAGTCCAAACCTCGTAAACCCCCGATTTTTCTGGCGAGAAATTCAATGAACCAATTGCCACCTCCCCCACAACCCTCCCTTTTTACTTGCAAGGGGAGAATTCCCACCTATTCCACCTTCTTATCAATAAAACTTTAATCGAGTCAGTGAATAGAAATGAAAAAATACTAATTGCATTCATAGATCTTGCTAAAGCGTTTGACTCTATTGATAGGAAAATTCTTTTCAAAAAGTTAGAATATTTGGGAGCCCTGTCATGGTTTAAAAGTTATTTAAGCAATAGGACTCAAGTAGTATCAATCAATAACGCAATTAGTGATCAAATGATTGTATATTTTGGAATTATCCAAAGAAAGATCCAAAGTTCTACAGTGGGGCCTTTACTTTACTATTTTTAATTTACATCAATAACATTAGATAAAATTGATATTTCTGGAAAAATATTCTTGTTTGCAGATGACACAGCGGTAATCTTTAGGGCACGAACTTGGGAAGAGGTTTTTAATATTGCATCATCAGAATGGGTTGCTGTCAATGCGCCACCACGTCAAACCGCCACCTCGGTGTTTTGGCCAGAGGCGTCAACCCGCCACCACAAAAAAACCGAGGTGGTGGGTTGACGTGTACGTACAGGTCAACCCACCACCTCGACAACAGGCCACCACGACAACCCACCACCACACAATTTTCCGAGGTGGCGGGTTGTCGTACACACTCAAGTCAATGAGCCACCACGACAACATGCCACCACGACAACCCACCAACACCAGTTTTTATCAGAGGTGGCGGGTTGTCGTGAAGCTCCATGTTCGATGTCAGCAACCCGCCACCTCGCACGTAGGCGACAACGTGCCATCCCGTCAACCCGCCACCACTCTTTTACGAGGTGGCGGGTTGACGTGTACGCTCAGTGTTCGGTGCCGTCAACGCGCCACCTCGCTCATAGGCGACAACGTGCCATCTCGACAACCCGCCACCATGCACTCTTGTCGTAAATCGGTCGGATTTATATTCTGTAGCATTAAATATATTGTGCTTTGATTCAGTTAATTTAGAGAAAGTTAATGTACCTAACTCTTTAATAGCATTTCTGGAAATTTTAGTTTATTTTCGGAAGAAAGATTGATAGGTAATTCAATTATTAACATGGCAAAAACCCGACATTTGAAAGGGTCTCACGCCCTTAAGGGTACGAACTTTTAAATTCTAAAACCTTAGTGCAAAACTACGAATTGGTCCGAATCCTTTAACCCCTTAAACGTTGAAATTTGTCCACAAATAAGGGAGGAGTACTGTAGTGTTCACAAAACACAGCCCTCGCGTCAAGGGCGGTCCCAGGGGGGGGGGGGTCAGGGGGGTCGTGACAACCCCCCAAAATATTTTTTATATATATATAAACTATTATACCAGGGAAACATTAATAATTTTTATTGCAAATCGTTTTACCAAATTTAAATTCGTTGTAGTCTTTACACTTGTAGCGAACGAAAGGACTAATTACAAAGTCTAATCTAAAACTTGGTATCGTTCAAGTCTGACTATGCTTTTGTACGTTGAAAAGTAGGGAAGATCGGCAGACAACGGACGCTTTCAGCCATATATGGCAACGGCAGTGTTCGATGCTGGCGTTCGACGTTCGGCTGCATTCTTCTTCTTATTTAATTTTTCGGCATTTAATGTTATAATTCATTTTAACCCAGATGATTGAAAACTTGAATTGGGTATTGGATAAAGAAAAGAAGTTGTATCAATAGGCAAAGTTTGAAAGGTAGTTGAATATTAATTTATCTGAGTTCAGCGTTAGGAATTCAATGATGTAATTCAATGATTACCGTAGCAAATTTCAAAACTTGCAATATTAAATAGTATTCATATTTAGAGCACCTGGTATCATATACCTGAACACAACCCAATAGGCATGTTGCTAGCCACAAAACAACAACAAAATGGTAGTGTCCCAGACTTAGATGCGGAAGGGACGGATTTAATTCCCGACACAACCACAAAAACGTTGCACAAAAACTTTATTCTCACGTTGACCCCTTGTAAAATGCCACTGGCACTGGCGTATAAAAAAATGAGAATACTGAGAACCAATTCTTCAGGCGGTAGCAGTGACGGGACGCCGACGCAACGTTAGTTGGGTAGTGTACTTTATAGGTTAACTGTTGCTTACTGGGCAGGTATAATGCAGTCGTGTTTGGTGCAAGTTCTTAAACACTTCTTAGATAAAATAAGTTCTCTTTTTTGAAATCTTGGTCTGATTTTGGACATTTTCTGTTTAGAATGCACATCGGCACCAGTTGGAAGGGTGTTTTCGTAAATAAATATAATTGAGCGGAGCGAGCGAAGCTCTTTGACATCGGACCTTATGCAAACTATGTAATCAATTAACTCAATACCGGCTGAACATATTGAATCCAAACTTACCAGGGGTATTTCGACAAATATTTTTGATGTTTCGAAACAAACAAATTTCAATTTGATGATACCTGTACAATTTAAGACTGACATAAAATTTGCAATGTTTAACATGAGTCTTGTGAGTTGCCATGATGGTTACGAGATAACAACGTAGATGTAAACAAAGAATCATAGCGTATGCGACTCGACATTCTGTACCCACGGGCATCTCAGCTTGCACATGCACATATGGCCTATTTACAAAAGACAGTACAAAAGAAAAGGAGTCCAATGAATACCATTAAGCGTTGATTAACAATACACCGATTCGCATAATTTCTGGCGGCCTTACTGAATTATTCCAAGCAGATTATTTCTTTTAATTGTTGTTATTGTTATTAGTTTTGTGGTAAATATTAGTCCGGAATGTGGTAACTGTTTATGACGATTAGATTAAGGTATCTGTTATCCTAAAATGCTATGGAAAGGGAGGGAAACAGGTCCGAAGTGTGGGAACTGTTTATGACGATTAGATTAAGGTATCTACAATCCTAAAATGCTATGGGAAGGGAGGGAAACAGGTCCGCGACGTAGGGAATGGTGAATGGAGTAGTAAAGGCGAGTAGTCCGGAGTGTGGGAACTATTAATGACGATTAGATTAAGGTATCTGTTATTCTAAAATGCTATGGGAAGGGGGGAAAACAGGTCCGTGGCGTAGGAAGTGGTGAAGGTAGTAGTAAAGGCGAGTAGTCCGGAGTGTGGGAACTATTAATGACGATTAGATTAAGGTATCTGTTATCCTAAAATGCTATATGAAGGGAGGGAAACAGGTCCGCGACGTAGGAAGTCGTGAAGGAGGCAGTAAAGGTGAGCGGTCCGGAGTGTGGGAACTGTTTATGACGATTAGATTAAGGTATGTACAATCTTAAAATGCTATGGGAAGGGAGGGAAACATGGTCCGCGACGAAGGAACTGGTGAAGGAAGTAGTAAAGGTGAGTAGTACGGAGTGTGGGAACTGTTTATGACGATTAGATTAAGGTATCTACAATTCTAAAATGCTATAGGAAGGGAGGGAAACAGGTCCGCGGCGTAGGAAGTGGTGAAGGAAGTAGTAAAGGCGAGTAATCCGGAGTGTGGGAACTATTAATGACGATTAGATTAAGGTATCTGTTATCCTAAAATGCTGTGGGAAGGGAGGGAAACAGGACCGTGACGTAGGAAGTCGTGATGGAAGCAGTAAAGGTGAGTGGTCCGGAGTGTGGGAACTGTTTATGACGACTAGATTAAGGTATCCACAATCTTAAAATGCTATGGGAAGGGAGGAAAACAGGTCCGAAACGTAGGAAGTGGTAAAGGAAGTAGTCAAGGCGAGCAGTCCGGAGTGTGGGAACTGTAACGACGATTAGATTAAGGTATCTGCAATCTTAAAATGCAATGGGAAGGGAGGGAAACAGGTCCGCGACGTAGGCAGAGGTGAAGGAAGTAGTAAAGGCGAGCGGTCCGGAGTGTGGGAACTGTTTATGACGATTAGATTAAGGTATCTACAATCTTAAAATGCTATGGGAAGGGAGGGAAACATGGTCCGCGACGAAGGAAGTGGTGAAGGAAGTAGTAAAGGTGAGTAGTAAGGAGTGTGGGAACTGTTTATGACGATTAGATTAAGGTATCTACAATTCTAAAATGCTATGGGAAGGAAGAGAAACAGGTCCGCGGCGTAGGAAGTGGTGAAGGAAGTAGTAAAGGCGAGTAGTCCGGAGTGTGGGAACTATTAATGACGATTAG